GTTTTAATATTTAGGTCTATGATCCATTCTGAGTTGATTTTCATGAAATGTGTAAGGTCTGTGTCTAGGTTTTTTTTTTTGCATGTGTATGCCCAGTTGTTCCAGAATCATTTGTTGAAAAGATTGTCCTTTGCCATTGAATTGTCTTTGCTCCTTTGTCAAAGATCAGTTGACTATATTTATATGGGTCTATTTCTGGGCTCTCTATTCTGTTCCATTGGTCTATTTACTTATTCTTGCACCAATATCACACTGTCTTGATCACTGTAGGATTACAGTAAGTCTTGAAGTCGAATAGCGTCAGTCCTCTGACTTGGTTCTTCATCAGTATTGTGTTAGCTATTTTGGGTCTTTTGTCTTTCCATACAAACTTTAGGAACAGTTGGTCAACATCCACAGAATAACCTGCTGGGATTTTGATTTGAATTGCATTTAGTTTATAAAGTTGGGAAAAATTGACATCTTGATAATATTACATCTTCCTATCCATGAACATGAAATGTCTCTCAATTTATTTAGATCTCCTTTGATTTCTTGCATCAGAGTTTTACAGTTTTCCTAATACAAGTCCTCATATTTTGTTAGAATGAGTTGGAATCAACTTGACGGCAACAGGTTTGGTTTCTGTTTGGTATATCTAAGTTTTTTTTTTTTTTTGGTGCTAATGTAAATGGTGTTGTGTTTTAACTTTCAAATTCCAATTGTTCATTGCTGGACTATAGAAAAGCAATTGACTTTTCTATATTAACCTTGTATCCTGCAATCTTGCTGTAATTGCTTATTCTAGTTTTTTGTTGTTGTTGATTTTTGGGATTTTTCTACATAGACAATCATATCATCTACAGTTTTATTTCTTCCTTCTCAATCTATGTATCTTTTTTGGGGGTGGGTCTTAACTGCATTAGCTAAGACTTTCAGTACAGTTTTAAATCGGGAGTGGTGAGGCGGGACATCCTTGTCTTCTTCTCACTCTTAGAGGGAAAGCATCTAGTTTCTCACCATTAAGTATCATATTAACTGTAGATGTTCTATATCAAGTGGAGGAAGTTTCCCTCTATTCCCTGTTTGCTGAGAGTTTTTAACATGAATGGGTATTGGATTTTGTTAAATGCTTTTTCTGATATATTGATATGATCATATGATTTTTCTTCTTTAGACTTTGATGTGGTGAATTACATTAATTAATTTTTGAATGCTGAACCAACCTGGAATAAATGTCACTTGTTTGTGGTGTATAATTAGATCTGCTAATATTTTGTAGAAGATTTTTGCATCTACGTTCATGAGAGAGATTGGTCTGTAGTTTTCCTTCCTAGTAATGTCTTTGTCTGGTTTTGGTATCAGGATAGTGCTGGCCTCATAGAATAAGTAAGGAAGTGTTCCCTCTGCTTCTACCTTCTGGAAAAAGAGTGTAGAGAATTGGTATCATTTCTTCTTTAAATGTTTGGTAGCATTAGTGAAGCCATCTGGGTCTGGTGGTTTCTGTTTTGGAAGGTTATTAATTGTTGTTCCAATTTCTTTAATAGATATAGGCCCATTCAGATTATCCATTATCCTTGTGTGAGTTTTGGTAGGTTGTGTCTTTCAAGGAATTGGTCCATTTCATCTAAGTTATCAAATTTGTGCGCATAGAGTTGTTAATAATATTCCCTTATTATCCTTTTAATGTCCATGGTATCAGATGTGATGGACTCTCCTTCATTTCTGATATTGGTAAATTGTGTCTTTTCTTGTTTTCTTGGTTAGCCTGCTGTCTTAGTCATCTAGTGCTGCTATAACAGAAATACCATGAGTGGATGGCTTTAACAAAGAAAAATTTATTCTCTCACAGTCCAGTAAGCTAGAATTTGGAATTCAGGGCGTCCGCTCCAGGGGAAGGCTTTCTCTCTCTGTTGGCCTTCTCATCAACCTTCCCCCGGACTAAGAGCTTTTCCATGCAGCAACCCTGGGTCCAAAGGACATGCTCTGCTCCCGGCACTGCTTTCTTGGTGGTATGAGCTCCCCTCTCTCTGCTTGCTTCCCTTTCCTTTTTATCTTGAGAGATAAAAGGTGGTGCAGGCCACAACCCAGGGAAACTTCCTTTACAATGGATCAGGGATGTGACCTGGGTAAGGGTGGTGTTACAATCCCACCCTGATCCTCTTTAACATAAAATTATAATCACAAAATGAAGGACAACCACACGATACTGGGAATCATGGCGTAGCCAAATTGATACACACATTTTTTGGAGGACATGATTCAATCCATGACATTCCACCCTTTGGCCTCCCAAAAATCACATCCTTGCAACATGCAAAACATTTATCCCATCATATTATAGCGAAAGTCTTAACTCCAAGTCCAAAATCCAAAAATTCCTCTTCATCCGTGAAATCTAGAACAAAAGTTATCTGCTTCCAAAGGTACAATGGCAGAACAGGCACAAGCTAGACATTTTCATTACAAATGGGAGAAACTGGGGAAAAGAAGAGATAATAGGCACCAAGCAAGTCAGCAGAGCACATCACATTAGCCCTCAAGGCTTTGAAAATAATATTCTGTTCTCTGAGACAATTTACACAGTGGCCGTGCCCTCCAGACTCTAGGTGTTGGCCACACTCTCCAGATTCTGAGTGGAGGCCCCTTGGCTCTGGGCTTCATCTCCACCTTCCAGGCCCACTGGGACAGCAACTCTGCTCCCTCAGCTTTAGGTGCACCATTCTTCTAGTCCATCTAAGTGGCAACTCCACCCTTTGAAACCACAAGGTCCTGACCATACCTTTTGAGACCGACGCAGCTTGGCTTCTTGTGTTCCTTGTCTCTTCAGCTTCTGCCTCCTGGATTCTTGGCCTCTCGGCTCCTCGGGCCTCACACCCACATCTGCCCTGCTGGGGCAAGTGTTCCAAAGCTCTGTAGCTCCACCAATAAGTTCCTGGAGGCACCCCACTCTACCATGAAGCCCCCTGCACACAGGCACTCAGCTCCCTTGCTCTGTGGGTCAGCAAGCCTAGCTCCACTGACAAGTGCCCGCATGCACCCCACTCTGCCAAGGAGCCTCGTGTGCACAGGCACTCAGCTCTCTCGCTCTGTGGGTTGGCTCCAGCACCGTCTCGCCCTGGTCTCCTGGTTTTGCTGCTGCTGGTTCTCTGCCCATTCACAGTTTCAAAACCGCTTCCACATTTTAGGTATCTGTTAGAGCAGCACCCCACTCTCTCAGTACCAAATTCTGTCTTAGTCATCTAATTCAATCCATGACACCTGGCTAGAGGCTTATCAATTGATCAGTCTTCTAAAGAACCAGCTTTTGGTTTTGTTGATTTTCATTATTTATTTCCTGTTTTCAATTTCATTGATTTCTACTCTAATTTTATTATTTCTTTTCTTCTGCTTTAGATTTAATTTGCTTTTCTTCTTCAAGTTTCCTAATGTGAAAGCTTAAATTATTGATTTTAGATCTTTGTTTTCTAATATATTCATTCAAGGCCATAAATTTTCCTCTAAGCACTGCTTTTGCTGCATCCCATGAGATTTGATAAGCTGTATTTTCATTTATTTAGAAATATTTTAAAATTTCTCGAGATCTCTTCTTTGACCCATGTGTTATGTATAAGCATGTGTTTAATTTACAGGTATTTTTGGATTTTCAAAAGTATCTTTCTGTTATTGATATCTAGTTTACTTCTGTTGTGGTCTGAGAACATATTTTGTATGATTTCTATTCTTTGGAATTTATTAAGCATGTGGTCTATCTTGGTGAACGTTCCATGCGAGCTTGAGAACGTAGCCCAAACCTCTCTGTAACAAATTTTATATACATATGTATAAAATTTATATACATATGCATATAAAATTTGTATACCAGATACATATATATCTCAGCTACATACCTACATATCTTTCAGATACATATATATCTCAGATACATATGCATACATAATACATATCTCAGATACCTCTTCGGCACCACGCCACATCATCTCAGCCCCACCACTTACTCCAGCCACTGCTGCAGTGACCAGTTCACACAAGCTTTGACCAGCTTCACTGAGGTGCAGCCTGACAGACAATGCCAGCAATCATCTTGGGTCTGCAATGTATTACCTCTTGCTTTCTCTCTGGGGGATTATCTGGAACCTTTTTGGGATTTATACGTATGCAGCCAACACCATTGGGGCACCCTTAATGAATGTGGACAAATAGATAAATGCTTCCCCTTTTATCTATGGTACAGATGGTTTTGAGATGCATTTCATAAGGCTCTTCAGAAATTCTTGCTCGTTGGAGCACCACTGCCCTTGGCACTGGCCATCCTTGTAATGGCTCTCCTTTCTTCCCTATTCTACTCCCCCTATCCTTTACCCTAGCTCCCTGGACTCTTGTTCTCAAATAAACTACCAGCTGCACAGCTGTTCTGGTCTCAGGGTCTGCTTTCAGGGGAACCCAGGCTAAGATACTTTGAAAGAAGAGTGGTTCAGTCCATATCAATTAGTGGAGTGAAGGTTTCTAATGCACTGGGAGTAAATCTTAGTTTTAGAGACTAATTGCAAACCATTACTAAAAACTAGCCCAAGCTAATAGAGAAAAGTCAGGTGGTGGCGTGACATGGCTCACCAAATTATGGAAATAAAAGTTGTAGGCAGCTGCTATTATTAAAAAAATCATTTTACTTACTAAAACTTTTTCATTTCCCAAGGCACTTCAGTAGCTTTCATAAAAATATGGTTTTTAGCCAGGTGAAGCATATGCTTCAGGAATACCATATTCAGAAAAAAGACAATTACACTGAACACAAAATATCTCCCAATAATGTTACATAGCTGAAGTGAGCATCTCTGAAGGATTGTATACACAATTTAAGTTTCTTCTTTGTAATTTTTTCCATGATTAGGTATCACAAAAGGAACACACACAATAACATCATTTTGGCACTCAGAGAAGTGCTAGTGGCCAAGGCTGGTAAGGCCAAATATTTGCATGTACAAGTGGCAACTGCAGGCCATTGCCAAAGTGATTCTGGGTTTAAAAAGAAAAAAAAAAAAAAAAAAGACACAAACCAGGAGGATAAGGAACCAGCCTTTCCCAAGTCCATTCTGAAGGGCAAATAACTTAAGGAGAAAAAGTCACAATAAAAACAACAACAATAACCACAAATAAAATACAACAAAACAAACCCCACATTGTAGTTTTGAGAGAAAAGTTTGCTTGTCTTTTTCTCGCAGTGATATACTTCCTTCAAACCAGACATAAGAAGTCAAAGTAGCTAGGGGGTATGATTTACACAGTAGTGGGAAACAAGAATAGCAGATTCAATGATGCATTTCTCATGGGCCTGGACAAGCCTAGTGCTTCAATCGGAAGTAAACAAGTCTGTCCAGTAGTCATACTGAGTGGTCCAAGACCTTGCAAACCAAGGGACTTGCCCACACAGCATGTATCTGCTCAGTCCACTCCATCTTAATCACCTCTAGGTTTCTCCAGAGCCTGTGTTCTCTTACCCTGAGGAGGCAACACTCACAGTTAATGTCTTTGGAACCAAGAAAACATGAGAAATCAAACTCCCTATGAAATTATTTCTTGTCCTTTAAAGTGAATCATTAGAGGGGAAGGGAAAAGGTAGGGCAACTTGAACCTCCAGTTTTATCAGGGGCCTTTTCAGGCAGTCTGAAATTACAATGCAAATTTAACAGATGCCTCTCATTTCCTTTCAAATGTCATTGTCTCTAGTGAATAGTCAACATCTTAGGAAGTGCCAAGTCCATCATCGTAATAGGTGGGACTTAGCTAAAGTTGTCTGCCCACAGCCACGGTGTCCCTGGAGCAAGACAGTACTCTCGGACCACACACAGCCTCTGAGTCTGGGTGCCCAAACATGAGCAAGTCAGAAACAGGGCTAACCAAAAAAACAGACCTTCGTCACTGTAGGACTCAGTGTCTGCACAAGCCGTTTCTCACAGAAGCATATTTCCTCTTCAAGTTCTCACTTACTGGAGGTTGTGTTAGAAGGCTGTGCTTTTAAGGATGGTGGGGCTTTCTTCTTCATCCTTTAACACCCTTGTGTGGGTTGGACTTTGCCTGTATTTTATTCTATAAAGACAAGCAAAAAAAAAAAAGAAAAAAATTAGTTACAAGTCTTAAGACGACTACCAGTCTTAAAAAAAATCAAAACCGAAGATATTTTCACCAAGGGGAAAAAGTCACAGAGCAGATTCTGAAAGGTTTCTCCTGGTCTATGCACTATCCCAGAGCTGCTGTTGCTGTGGAGATGTAAAGGTGACATGTCCACACAGGATCAGAAACGAGAAGATAGGCTGTAAGCATCTTGCAACTTATAACTCTCTGACGGATAAACTAGTCCACTGTGTTTGTGACAAAAAGTTTAAGGGGGTCTCTACTGTGAGGGTCTCCTAAGACCTGGCCAAGCCTGGACCCAGCATGTCAATACTGTGAGGAAGGAGGCCTTCTTACCCTTTGACCCTCAGCATCTGATCAATGGTGTCTGGGAGGGGGATGTTGAAGCTCTCTGGGAGGAACAAGGTGAGGATGGCTGTCAGGATGGTCAGACTTCCCATGAGAATGTAGGGCAGGAAGCGGTCATAGGCACCTATGGCAAAGCAGACAGAGGCCTGAGCTGGGGGTTGCCGTTAACTGGGCTTCCCTCCATCCCTTTACACTCCTGGGACTCTATAAAGGAGATCACCTGCCTTGTTGGGCTCAGCATCTGCCACAGGCTGAGCTGCCAGACTGGAATCTGGTACCTCACAACCCAGAGTTGGCAAAAACATGCCCAGAGGTCCAGCAGTGCCTACACGGTGCAGAGGGGGAGTGCAGAGGGGAGAGGAGGAGTCGAGCCACGGTGATTGCTATTCCCATTTCCAAGGAACTTGAAGTACTCATCCAGGGACAGGAATAACTCCTCCACCTCTCCAGATATATCACAACCCCGTGTGATTTGCCTTCACAGGAAGGCAAATACAGGAAGATGTTTCTACTTGTCAGTTCTGTGGAGCATGTTATGTTCACAAAGCACTCTGGGTACTCTCAGAGCAGGTGCCACCCTTCCGCAAAGATGTACAGGGAAACAGGAGCTGCCATGAGGAAATGCAATCTTGAGGAGGAGAAAACTGGTGCTCTGTTACATAAAACGGCACAAGGAAGCTCTTTACACTGTATAAGCCCACTGTGTGAAGTGCTCCGAGTCACAGCAATTCTCAGTTCATCAGACCTCTTAAATGGTCCTTCCCCCCAACCCCATGTTCCTTGTAAACTCTTATTTTAAATTTCTCCAACTAAGTACACTGGCTTCCTAAACCACTCTGCAGTTTCTTAGGCTAAGTACCCTCTGATGGAAGGCCTGGGATGGCTGAAATAGAAACAAATACTTCTAATTTTCTAATCAATTTCTAGACAGTCTATAGGTTATTTTCCACTCACGAGTACCTCCTCCCACAGTACACCTGGACTAGAACGCCTCTCTGGGTGTAGATCCACTGTTAGATGAATCCCGTTTCTGTATGTGCTTGTTTTCCTGTTAGCAAGCTATCTCCAGCTCACATTAAAGTCAAAGAGTGCTTCTACCCATCGCTGCTGTGTGCCCAGGCCCAGGACACACCTTTGCCCATAGGACTTACCCAGGTAAACAAAATAGGGAGACAGGATGCTGCCAAGGCGGGACGCTGTGGAGCTGACTCCCACGCCCATGTTTCTGACCACCGTGGGGTACAGCTCGGCAGTGTACACATAGATCATGGAGAAGGCAGCAGTGATTCCAAACTTGCCCACCATCACCAGGACTGTAGTCAAATAGTACAAGTCTGGAGAGGCAAAGAGAAGAAAGTAGGAGCAGGCATCAACCCACTGTACCCTGCTAGTCAGAGTTCCATTTCTTTTTTGCCTGAAACAAACATACTTTCTCCTTTTTTGAGGGCAGGCAGTTTCTGTAACTTCCTATTGTAGAGTAAGGGGCTATTGCCAAGATTTCCCTCCAAGTTGGTTACTGACAGGAGGCTGGGGACCTGAAGTGGTGTAAAAACATGCTATTTTCCTCAGCCTAAGGACTATCAGGGTGAGCCCCTCAAAGTCCACATAAACCTGCTTTCTAGTCCAGAGTCACTAAGGACACATCTGGCAGGGAGTTAGCCATCACCCTAGAAGCTCATGCTGCAGGCACTGTGGATTAACCAACGACTTTAGGTGAATGCGGAATTCAATTATAACTCATTTCATGCTTTTATTCTACTCAGACCTCAAAAACTGCATAGACCATCAGAAGCTCAGGACAACCCTCCAATCCATCCTTCTCACTGTGCCAGAGGAGACAGGCCTGTGTGAGCTCAGGCATGAACTTCTACGTATGGTTCCTGGGCTCCTTCTGCCATGCCACACTGGGGGCCGTTCCTGGGCAGCAGTGTTCCCAGCCTAAGGGGCCCAGAAATGATCACCAGAGGCCCCCAAATCCACGAGTACGATGAGAACTTGGGGTACAATGATGGATACACAAGGGTCCATGAACTGTTCTATGAATTTCCCTCCCACCCATCCGTGGGGAAACCAGACAGTTATAAGTATAAAATCCAGCTAATGGCCTACGAGACCCTCCCTATTTGTGACGTGGCCCAGCCTCTCTCCTTTTTTTTCTCTCTTACTGGCTCCTTCTTTCTCCTCAAACATGCCAAGCTCATTCCTGCCTCAGGCTTTTTGCCTCTGCTGTTTCTTCTTCCTGAAATGTTCTTCTCCTAGACTTTTTCATGGCTTTCTCTTATCACTTCATCTAAGTCTCTGCTCAACTGCCCCCTCTTCAGAGACGCTGTCCGTGTCTACTCTGTGTAAACTATATTAAGCAGATTTCTTTGTTTACTTGCTTGTTGTCTGTCTTGTGAACTAGAAAGTGACTCTATGAGGGCAGGGGTTTTGCCTGACTCGTTTACTTGTGTATCATTAGCCCTGAGCACAATGCCTGGCCCATGGCAGGAACTGTATAACGATTTGTTGAATAAGTAAAGGACTAATACAAGGCCAGGAAAGAGGAAACCAAATATGAACACCATAACGTGGGTATAGAGTAAAACTAACCAACAGCCCCAAATGGTTCCTCCCTCCCACTCCCCAAGGCCTAGGCCATAAAAAGTGTTCTGGTCTTAGAAGGTAATTTCTCTGGATTTTTAGGCCAAGGATGCATGTAAGAAGGTGAGCTGTGATGAAAGTGGTTTTTATTTATCAGTTGGGGAAGGCAGCCTGGTAGAGACTGAGTGACTCAGTGAAGACCCAAGACCACAGATGTACATGGTCCCTACCTGGGGGCACCAGCTGCAGAAAGAGAAGAACACTGCCGCCTAGGAAGAGAGCGGTGGCCATGGAGTACCGCCGGGGCAGATACTGCAGCAGCACCCAGGCCACAGTGTACGCTGGGACTTCAACCACCCCTGAAAGGAAGCAGTTCACGTAGATGTCTCCATGCAAGTTAGGAGTATCAAGGGAAAGCCCAAAATAGCCCACTGATATGGTCATCCTGAAACAGAGTACAAAAGAAAGCTGGAGAAGTGGTATCCACATCCCTCCCAACATGAACAACTTTTTAAATATAATTATTTAAGGAAATTCAAAAATTCTCTTTAAACAGGGAACAGGAGGGCTGCAGTAGATCTACTGTGTGTCTTACTTCTTAGAACAGAAGAGAACGTCCCTCGGCCCAAGGGGCACCAGTATGCCAGTGCACTTTCAGAGCATTCCATACAGAAAGTATCTCAGCAAAAAGGCCTATATACTTCAGATAGACTTAATGCATTAAAAAAAAAAAAGAAAAATCCTAACTTGCTTTTTGGTTTTAAAAATCCTAAGCTGGGGCATTTACAGAAGCTTGTTTCCCACTCTCTGGACCTCCCCAAATCCAGCAACTGAAGAAGCAAATAGGGAATGGGTAAGAAGGCAGATATCATGTGGGGTGTGATAGGATTGGAGAGATGAAGTAAAATAAGGGCCTAATATTAGGTCAAACATTTGGAGAAAGATACCTGGCAGACTATCTATGGCAACCAGCCAGGAAGAGGCTAGTTTGACGCAGCTGACCCCCCCCCTCCACCCCTAATCACACTTGTGGAGAAGAGAGGGAGCTCCCAGTGGTGTGACCATGTCTTCTGTCATCTGCATGCCTCCCACTGTCCCTGGCCTGGGCCATGTCCTCAGCAGGTACTCTGTTAAAGACAAACACACTTTGGCAACCAGGTCTTCATGGATTAGACTGACTTGTTTTTAACTCATCTGCAAGTTGAAATTGCAGCTTGTACAATCAGAGAAAAAAGAACATGTATGACTTGCTGGGAAATCCAGAGCCTGAGTGAACCACAAAGCAGCGACTCACTGAAGGCTGGCAAATCTGTGGCACAGGCTGAATGCTGATCCTGTCTTGAGGCCTACTGAGGGGTGGGGGAGGGTGGTGCACTGCCCTAAAGGTTCCAGGGCTGTTCCCTGGAAACAGGTAACTCATAGTTACCCCAGTATGCAAGACTGCTGGCTGCCACCAAGCTGGATGAATCTAGTAGTAAGGACTCTGAGATGAAGTTTGGCCTCCTCCCCCATCTTATCACCACTTATCTAGCACCCTCAGGTCGTTTCCTGGAATCCCAAAGGTCTGGCCACTAAACAAAAGCTGTCTAGACGCTTGGATGTGTTCCCTTTCTCTGGCCCTTCTTGACACTTGGTGAAATGCCTAATTACAAGGAACTTGATGAGGGCAGCTAGCCATTCTCCTGCCTCCAGGACAGTCTGAACATCCCAGAAGACAAAAGCTCAGTCCTGCTTCCATGTTTCCAGAAAGTACTTAGCAGCCTCTGTAACCTGGAGGAAATGGTGTCTTCGCACTCAGATCCTTCTTAAAAGCCTCAGCTGTCTTCCTCAGCCACTGCTGGTGACTGGGTAGGAGGGGGCAGGGGCAGGAACAACTAAGCAAGGACCCAAAATGAGCAACGATTTGCCTCAGACCTGGAGTGATCCCTAAAAATCCTTTATTTCCCAAAAAAGCCTCCACAACAGTTTTCTGAGAGTCAATCAAATTAAGAATTGTGGCATGCCCATTTCTTCTATCTCAAGGCAGACTTCTTTCACTTTCTGATGACACAAGCCTTTAATTTTGGTCTGAGACATGTCTGTGAACAAGAAGCTCTGTCTGGAAGTCTCAGGCAGGTCTCACTTACGCACCACAGAATTATGGACATGACGGTCACCATTCGGATATTCTGGGTTCGGAGTAGATCCAGAATGCTGTGTGACTGTTGCTTCTGGGAACTTAGGTCTTGCGTCTGCAAGAAAGACACAGTAAGGGAATGGGAGGGAGAGAAGGTCGAAGACTCAATATCCAATAACATACCCAAAACCCTGGCATCTTAGCTTTCTATGCCTCAGAGTTGGGGAGTGTTTTATGTTTCTTCTTTGAAGAGAAGAGCAGTAAGTAGAGTGACAGCATCTTGGGCTGCTAAAGGTTCCCCTAGACCTTGTCAGTAACAAAGTAGAGTAACAAGAATGAGGAGAAAAAGCAGGAGACCAATCCCTGGGGGACACAATGAAGGCGGAGCCCAAGCTGATGCTCCAGCAGCTCCCTCCTGCACCACCCCCACTCTCTCAGTGATCACATTCCAGGAAGGCCTCCAAGCATTCCTTCCTGGGGCTGGCTCCCTGCCTTCTAGGTCAGAGACAGAAGTTGGCTGTGTATTTTATTGAACTGATATTTAAAAGGAATTAATGTTTTGAGCTCTCATGCCATGTAGTTACTTGTCTGCTTCAGGGGAAAAAATGTCAGATAGGAAAACTGACCTGAGCTTCACCCAGAGTAACTTCCTATGAAATTCGGCACAGCCAAGGCCATTAATAAACCGCACGTCTAAACACACTGATGTTGCTTTCTTAAGCAAATCCAGCCTTGGAGCTTGTTTTTCCCAAGTTAGCAGTTCAAAAAAAGGTCAACTTCTTACTTAAAGGATCCCCTGAAATAGCCTCATTTCCTCAAAGATGCCGGTGGGGCTATGGGTTCACCTAGATTGACCCCTCACTTAAAAGCAGCCAACGACCTCCCCTGCCCTGACCTTTGTGGATCAGAGTCCTTTCCAGTACATGCCAAGTGGAGGCTGTTGCTGGACCACCACTTAACTGTGATGCCAGCCAGGCTGTCTGTAACCATCGGCCTTTCTGCTGCCGACAGTAGCTGGTCTCTCTTTTCCAAGCCCCAGTCTGCATCTCCAATCCTGAGCATCTCTGACATGCCTGCCGCTCACACTTCAGCATGACTGCTGGTAGCTGTTCCCACACCCAGGCCCTGGGACCAGTTCTGCTTCCTGGTCTTCCCAGTCAGCTCAGAGACATTCCAGAACCACACCAACCAGCATTTTCAGCTCCTAACCTCTTCTTGTAGTCACGAGACTAAGGAACACTGCCTGCTGCGGAAAGGGTAGAGGAGGCCGAGGAAACAGGAAGGAGAAACAAGAATCAGGAACCAGGCAGAGCCAAGAAATTACTCATGGTGTGTGAGAGCAGTTTGCAGAAGCAGTAAGAGAGGCAGGGGCAGGCTTGGGGGTGGGGGGGTGGAGTTGGGGAGGGAAAGGGGTGGATAGCAAAAAGGACCTGGCTCCAAGATGCCAAGAAACAAACTAACCGCTGGTGGGTGGAAAGAGACTGAACATTTCTAGCTCCCAATCTGTCGTGCTTCACTACATTATTTTTTTTTAAGATGACAAACCACCTAAGGCATAAAAAAAAATGATTTCTAAAATGCCGACTTCGTGAAAGACTTAGTGTTACTCATAAAGGGTATTTATTATTAAAAGTAATGCCTAAAATATATGATTGCCTAGGAAAGAAGGAAGTAAAGTATGAAAATGTAAAACCTACAGTAAAGGTGAAAAGAGTTAGGCAGTTGGTACCTTCTCAACTTCCTAATTTTATCAGGACTTACCCTGGGGACAGCTGGGGCTCCTGCGTGAAGGCAGGGCTTCAGGGCAATGTGGGCTGCTCTCAAACTATGGCCAGTGTGGTCCTCCCACCATCTCCCACATGATGCTTACCTCAGTAGGATCAAAGATGGTTGAGGGTACAGCAATCCCATTGAATCTGGCAGCTTTCCGGATGATAGCCTCTGCCTCTTTAAATCGTCCCTGAGAAATGAGCCATCGGGGGGACTCAGGGATGAACCTGGAAGCAAAAGGAGCAATCTCACTGAGGCCTCCTTGCCTAATGGTTTACCAACAGACCAGGTGTGGCTTAAACGGAAGTGGGAAATGAGGTTTTGGAACCAGAGCTAGGTTTGTGAAATGTTTGGTGTTTACAAACCAGAAGTGAAAAGATGATCCACATTATGCTTGGTCATGACCTGAAGTGTGAGCTCTTGAGTATACTGACAGTGTACAAACTCTGGAGAGGCCTGCACACCATGACGGAATCCCTACACTGGATGGCCACCTCCACTTCCTAAGAGCAGTGGTGCCACGTGCTGGGCTGTAAGGAGACACGAGCAAGATGGGCTCCTAAAGTCTGGCTTCTGTTAATGTCCCAGCCCAGCCCCATGCCCTGCTGTACTCTCCTCCCTGCCCCTGGCAACCACAGCAGCTTCTGCACTAACTCTGAGCCTCTAGTTTCTCTTCAACCCCCCCACTCCTGATCCACCCAAAAGACTTTTCAGACTCTTTACCTAAAATAACATGCTTATCAAGGCATCTGAGTGCTTTGAGCCTCTGTGGGTTTTATTTTCTACCTCACTGTGACTGGGTAACCCCTGCCCTTCTGTCATGACCAGGATCCATGCTGTGCTGTCTCCTCTCCCACTACGTGAATGCTCTCAGCTCCATATAGGCCAGTGAGCTCAGCTTCCCCACCTGCAAGGGGCAATTCTCACCTCAGCCCTTCTGCTTGTGTCTCCTCTCTTGCTATGGAATGGCCTCCTCTCTGCCTGTGCAATTCCTCTATCTTAGAGGCTCAGATGGAGTGTGGCTTCCTCCCTGCAGCCACCCTCAGGGCTCTCACCTTCCCCCTCTTCTCTCAGCGCTTGTGGCATGAGGCCTCAACAACTCGCAGCCAGAACCAGGGCCAAAGCTCTCTTGCTCTGGGATTTGGTAAGTTCCTGTAGGTCATGCTGGTTCCCATCATTCCTCAGATACATCTTCTCACTCTCCCTGCCCCAGATCAACCTAGCACAGGGCTGAGAAAAAGTCTGCTGATGTCTTGGGATTTTTATTTTTAATTTTTTTTGAGCATGGAGAAACATTCTGAAACAACGTAGAAATAATCTATACTTCCTGTCCCTGTGAGCCCAAATAGGGATTTGTGGGTTGCTGCTGCCCTCTAGCGAAAGCCAGACAGAACAACCCTGGGCATAAGGCCACACTCACCACCAGAGCACCGCGCACAGCACCCCCGGCACCGTCAGCGCCAGCAGCAGCATCCTCCAGTCTCTGATGAAGTAAGCAAACAGTGGCAGCAGCATGTAGCCAAATGAATAAAATATGCATACTCCTAACGTGGAGAATATAATACGAGCTGACTTGCCAAGAATTTCTGTTCCTGTTCAAAATAAGGGAGGAGTCATGTTAGCTTTTTAATTTGGTTTATTTCCTTATTAATCTTCTATGGTATCATTTTTAGCATAACAAGAAAGCAGCCAGAACTACGTCTAAGTTCCCAAACCCAGAGAAGGGGATGGGATTCTGAACCCAGTCCAGTCCAGCCTTGTTGTGACCTCTTGGGCCCCTCAGTGACAGACTGCTGAAGAAAAGTTCACCAATTTCCTACACCACATACTAAAGATGACACCTGAGGAAGAATTCATTGAAGGTGAAGTCAGCACTGAGGCTGCACATGCTGGCTGTTATCCTTGAAGGAAAAAGTATTCTATTAAATGTGAAGAGAAAAAAAAAATCGTTTCAACAATACAACTCAAGGAACCTAAAGACCAATAAGCTAGAGTCAGAATCCTCCAAACAGGGGGACTGGCAGCTTTTCAGTGAGAACAGGCTGGTATGTCTGAGCCCAAGCCCTGCAGCGTGTACTCTAAATTACAGCCCTGAGGGTGACTAAAGCCTGTTACTACCAACTGGTTCTTGTCAGTAGATTCTGATTGGCCACAATGTTTTTCAGAGGAGGCAGTTTTCTTCCTTGGTGAGATAGCCAGTCATGGACCTTCCTCCTTAAGTCCTGCCTTCCTCTTTACTTAGCCACCTCAGCCCTGGGCGGTGGCAGGCCCTTTTCATGGATGATCTTTGGTGAAACAAAAGAAAAGCCAAATCCACTGCTGTTGAGTTGATTCCAACTCATAGTGACCCTGTAAGACAGAGTAGAACTACCCCATAAGGTTTCCAAGGAGAAACTGGTGGATTTGAACTGCCAACCTTTTGGTTAGCGCTGAGGTCTTAACTACTGCACCACCGGGGCTCCAATCTTTGGTTAAGTCCTAGTAAAATGGCCATTAAGTGCCAACAAGACCAAGGTGCCACACCCCGGAGGCCAGAGAAGAACTGGATTAGAAGTCAGGCTATTGTGCTGCTGGGGACTCAGGGTTGGTCACTGGCCTGACTCAGTTTCCCTGCCTATAAGCTAGGTCCACCTCAGTGCTGCTAGAGACCACTTCCCTTTGAAGGACACGTGGCTGTCTCCAAGAAAGTGGGTAGTGTGATGATAGTGAAACACAGGATCAAGTACTCAACTCTAACTTGATGGCCATACCCAGGACAAAAGCTGCCACGTAGTTGGAGATCTGGCCCATGCCTACGATGAAAAACAGCACAGTAAACATCTCAAAGTTTGTCGAGAAGACCTGCAGGAAGCTGAAACCTGTCTGCACGCCCATGGTTGCGAACAGCACATTCTTCCGACCGAACCTGGGAAGGAAAGGAGAGTGAAAGAGAATCAGCTGGGAAAAAGCAGCAGGAATGAGCTTCACGAACAGGGGCTTTCCTCAGATCCATCAGGGAGGGGTCGTGGAGAGTGCTGCCAGGTTATCTGGTGCCAGGGATGGCCCAGTATCCCAGTCTCTGTGCTATTACTTCCCCTTCCTGCTCCCCAGGATGAACATACAGCCTAGACACCTGGGTTGTCCAAAAATCAGTGCCACAATTATAATAATGATTGTAATGGATTGAAATACATCAATATGCTTAAATCCATGCATTCATAATGATATCAAAAAGAAAGAAGAGGTCAACTTTGGAGGATGATGGGGAAACAATTATCATGAAAACTGGCAAATAAAGGGAAAGGAGCATCTGTCCTTACTCCCCTAGATCAATTATGTGAAGTGACCAATAACAGATGAAGGGAAGTGTCACTTTATAAAAGCATTCCAACTATTTGCTAAAAGGAAGTGACGGAAATTAGAATATCACCATTTTACAATCCCCAATGGATGAACAGATGCAGGCATTACACATCATAAAAAGATGCTAATATCGTAAAAAGAAACAACCAGACATTTCATGTCTCCTATAGTCGTGCCAAAGGGATTGAACCTGAACCAGATAGAGCCTCTGGATCCAGCTGTCAATCTGCAAGAAATACAGAGATAGAGGAATACGCTGAACGGCACCGTGAGGGTGCAATCAGCAAAATCCAGACTGGGAAACTCTACAGGTGAAGTGGCCTAGGGCTCCTCAACAGGTAAACTGTAAGGCAAAGAAAGGGACGGAGAGAGAATCCATAGATTGAAATAGACTGAAAGGCATGTCAAATTTTTTTAAGTGGGCAAGAATAAACTTGTGCCTAAGGATGCACATTTGGGTGATAAGACTATTAAAAACCCACAAGGAAGTGATTATTTTAAGAGTCAGGACAGTGGTTACTTAATGGGGAGAGAGGGCCTTGTAACTGGGATGGGGCACATGGACATGGCTTCTCAGTGGCCAGCAAAAGTTCTACCTCTTGACTTGGTGGTGGTTACAAGGTTATTTGCTTTGGAGTAATTCATTAAGCCATACATTTTTCCTCTGGGTGATTTTCTGGATGTGTGCTCATTTTACGATAAAAAAGGTTTTTTGTTTCGTTTTGTTTTTAAGACAGTGGCAAAAACAGGGAGGAATCTGTCAACCCAGTGGGAAGTAGTAGATTCAGCTTGAGGTTGGCCAAGACCCATCTTCATTCAATGAATGTTTATTAAACATCTATTACGTACTGGGCACTGGCGAGATAGCTGAATAAAAACAGATGCTGTCTCTGTCCTCAAGACAGTCTAGTTTGTTGTCTAGTTGTTGAGAGAGACATTAACCACAATCAAATAACCACACTACTGAATATACAATTACTCAGAGACAAATGCACTGAAGGAAAGGTGCCCAGGTCCACTAGAGACACAACAAAAGAACCTATCCTGGGCTGGAGGTAGGGGTTGGGAAAGTGGACAGTCACGAAGATTTTTCAGATGATGGGACACTGAGATGAGGCCCAAATGAAAAGTAGATGTTGAAAAGAGGGGGCTAGGGGACAGGGACCAAGCTTTTGATGACATCCACAGTGCAGTGGGGAAGAGCACCATTAATCATTTGGTCTTCTGATAGGTGCTATGAAGGAAAGGCACAAGGAACCAGGGGAACATAAACCACGGACACTGATTTAGTCTGCATGGTCAAGGAAGACTGCGGGTTGTGGGGTGGAGGGGTGGGGTGGGGAGCGTTTCAAACTATGGGAAGAGCACAGAAAACTGCGGCCGGAGGGGGCGTGATGGACACGAGGGGCCAATGTGGCTGGTGCCAGCTCTGCAATACAAGACTGGAGAGGTGGGCAAGAGCCAAACTACATAAGACCTGCAGCCATATTAAGAGTTTTCAATTTGTCCTAAATGAAACAGGAAGCCATTTAAGCAGGAAGATGACTTGATTTGCATTTGGAAAAGATTACTTTGGCTACAGTATGGAGAAAAGAGTGAAAAGGGCCCGGACAGGCTACAGGGAGATCTGGGAGGAAGCTGTAGCAATCTTCCTGGTCAAAGATAACAGCAGCTTGAGCTAGCGATGGCAGTGAGGACAGAAAGCAGCAGAAGGATTTGAGAGATATTTAGGAGATAAATTCAGTTACACTTGGTGGGGGATGAAGGGGAGGATTCCTGGGTGTCTGGCTTACATGGTTGGGTGGCATGGAGGCTGAGGACAGTCTCCCTTTTTAGAGCCTGTGATCTTGCCCTAGATGTGCAGGCCTAATCCCCATCCTCCATGTTGCACAGGGGGCTGGCGGCCTTCACGATGGGGGTGCTGCTCTAACTGCCCCAAGCTCCCAAGAGTAGTGAAACAGTATCATTGGCTATAGAGCACAGCCACAGTGCCATGCTTCAGAAGGACCCTCACAGGAGACGGAAAGATAGAGCCACCCCTCACAACCAAGTCTGCTGAGGCGTGGCTAACTGTGCCTAAGAAAGTGAGAGAGGGGAGACAGCAAGAGTATGCACTGCTAACAGCAAAGACATATGGAAAGTACTAGCCCAAGAGACAGAAAGGGCCCCATAAACCAGAGACTTCATCAGCCTGAGACTGGAAAAAATAGATGGTGCCCAGCTACCACCAATGACTGCCCTGACAGGGAACACAAGAGAGTCCCTGATGGAGGAGGAGAAAGGTGGGGTGCAGAACTCAAATTCTAGTAAAAAGACAAGACTTAATGGTCTGACTGAAACTGGAGGAACCCTGGAAAGCATGGCCCCCAGATTCTCTATCAGCCCAGAACTAAAACCATTCCAGAGGCCAACTCTTCAGACAAAGATTAGACTGGACTATGAGACATAAAATGATACTCGTGAAGAGTGTGCTTCTTAGCTCAAGTAGGTACATGAGACTAAACGGGCAGCTTCTGTCCGAGGTGAGATGAGAAGGCAGACAGGGTAAGGAGCTGGTTGAATGGACATGGGAAAGCAGGGGTGGAAAGGAGGAGTGTGCTGTCACGGTATAGGGAGAGCAATTAGGGTCACATAACAATGTATGTATAAACTTTTGTACAAGAGACTAACTTGAAATGTAAACTTTCACTTAAACTACAATAAACAACAACAAAAAATACAAAAAAAAAAAGAATATGTACCGCTTGCCGCTGTGGGTTAAGTCTGGGACCATACATCTGGGGTCTTAAAAGCTTGCAAGCAGCCATCTAAGATTCATCAATTGGTCCCAACCACTTGGAGTAAAAGAGAACGAAGAACACCAAAGACACAAGGAAAGTATTAGCCCAAGAGACAGAATGGGCCACGTAAACCAGAGACTTCATCAGCCTGAGACCAGAAGAACTAGATGGTGCCCAGCTATCACCAATGAACGTCCTGACAGGGAACACAACAGAGGGTCCCTGATGGAGCAGTGAAAGGATGGGGTGCATAACTCAAATTCTAGTGAGAAGACCAGACTTAATGGTCTGACTGAGACTGGAGGCGCCCCAGAAAGCATGGCCCCTGGACTCTCTATCAGCCCAGAACTAAAACAATTTCCGACGCCAACTCTTCAGACAGGGATTGGACTGTACTGTGGGACATAAAGTGATACTTGTGAAGAGTGTACCTCTTAGTCAAGTAGATACAAGAGACCAAAGGGCAGCTTCTGTCCAGAGGTGAGATGGGAAGGCAGAGAGAGTTAGGAGCTGGTTGAATGGTCATGGGGACTCAGGGGTAGAAAGGAGGAATGTGCTGTCGCAGAATGGGGTGAGCAATTAGGGTCTCATAACAATGTATGCATAAAAATTTTGTATGGGAGACTAACTTGAAATGTAAACTTCATTTAATTATAACAATTAAAAAAAAAAGTCTGGGACCATGTTCATGCCCGGACCACACCAGGCACCTCAGAAGATCTCCTAAACTCAGACGTCTGGGAAGATAAAAGTGGCAGGCAGGAGCCACTGTCTGGGTTGGGCCTGACTACGTGTCCATGTCTACAAGCAGGGCCAGGGGTAGAGGGGTAAGCTGTGCCCAAGGAACCTGACACCTACAGCACCAGCCTCTGGAAAGGGCACTCTGGAAAGGGCTCAGGATATCATTTCCAAGCCCTCTCTGACAGCCTAGGCTCTCTCCAGCAGCCTAGCTTCCCTCTAGGGGCAGCTCTGAGGCAGGGCTGAGGGTGTGCTACCCTGCCTGCTTAGAGGCCATCTAAGAGTCAGAGCCCATCCCACGAACCACTCTCTCTGCTCAGCATACCTCTTATGAGGTTCAAAGCAGAGGTCAACACCAGTATGCACCTGTGTGATCAAGTCTCCCAAATGCTTGTGTGTGAATCCAGTGCTGAGAAGGAACACGCTGAGACAGATTTCGCTTTCTTTAGTACCCTTAGCTTTTGAGTACAGAAGTGGAAAAAAATCCAACCCAAACTTGACTGTGCTGCCCCATTTATTACCCTTTCACAAACAAAAGTGGTAGCTGTGGTCTCAATTTCCTGGCCCTGGCCTTTTCTCAGCACCGGAAGGGGCAGGAATCGTACAGGGCAGTGGCTTTCATACTGAGCTGTGGAGTCCAGAGGTTCCTCGAGGGAAAGGGGGAGACTGAGTGGGAGTTCTGGGCCCTTTCCCACATCAACCAGAGGAGCTCCACCTTTTATCTACTGTATACATTGTGCTTCCCAAGGTCACTGTCTTAGTCATCTAGTGCTGCTATAACAGAAATACCACAAGTGGATGGCTTTAACAGAGATTTATTCTCTCACAGTCTAGGAGGCTAGAAGTCCGAATTCAGGGTGCCAGCTCCAGGGAAGGCTTTTTCTCTGTCGACTCTGGGGGAAGGTCTTTGTCATCAATTTTCCCCTCATCTAGCAGATTCTCAGCATAGGGACCCTGGATCCTGGCACTACTTTCTTGGTGGTATGAGGTCCCTCTGTTTCTCTGCTAGCTTCTCTCTTTTATATCTCAAAATAGACTGACTCAA